GTTGTTTAAAATCCAAAGGGATATGACGAACTGCAGAGCTATAAGTGGGGGTGATTAACTGACAGTTATTCTAATTAATGCCTTATAAATAAGACTCAGAAGGAATACCTTCAGAAAAGCAAAATGCAAAAAAGAACAAAGACAAAAGCAAAGTCTGGTTGACCTTCTTGCCTCTGCTTCTGACATGAAGCACGCAAGGAGCCCTGTCTACTGCCTGAGGTGGAAAGTCCTTAGGTGCTTCCTTGCTGCCCAGATGGTGTGAGAGCTGTTTTGTCCAACCCTACACACAGCCCAGATTCTGTGCATCCTTTCTGACACCATCTGGCACATACACAAAAAGTCTCTTGAACTTTCTGATCCTGCTTGGGAAGCAGATAGGGAGGCTGGGTTTAGTGGGGGCTAGTCCAGAACTTGCTTCAGCAGAGAGGAAGAACTCATACAAGCTGCCAGGGTCAATCCGTCTTTACAGAACTGTTTTATATGAAAATAATGGGAGTTTATAGAAAGGTTTATAGAAAACTCTGCTGGTTTTGGGGTATGAGATGGATGCATGTAGCTGGAAAGGGATTAGAGACTGACAGACTGGATTACAATTTTCAAGGGGAGAGCTGGTCCAAGAAGGTCAAGGGAAGAACAAGTGATGCCAGGCTTTTATTCAGTGGGTCATAATTACGCAGAGTGAACAAATGACTTGCTCATAATGGAGGAAAAACAATCTGCCACTTTACTTCTTGAAATCAGAGTAATCCTTAGGAGTGGTGTGAAAGGCTAATAAGAAATGCTGATGCTATTTAGAATCCTTCAGAGTCACCATGATGAAGACTAAATATCTCTGAGGAGAGGCTGAACTAGGTTGATGTGGTCCTTAAATATCTTGAGAACAAAATGGGAGGATGACTTAGGAATATCTTTATCCTTCAGTTTCCACTGACTCAGGAGCTCTCGTCCTTAAACTTCTGAGTTTGCTCTAAGGAATTAGAAGACCTGAGCTCAGGTCTGGCCATGTGGCTGTGGACAAGGCATCCAGCTTTTTTGAATCCTGGTTTCTCTACCCAAAAAAGAAAGAGAAGAAAATCTTTGCTCAGAGACTTCTTTAAAATTGCAAAATCTTACCATGCTTACGGTTGTATCATTAGCATCACAGCTGATTGAAATGACTGAAGAAACATCTGTCGAAAGCAAGGTCCACTTTAAAGACTGACTAGAAAGCAGGGAATTAGGAACAGCATTGAGGGAGGAGAAAGTCAGATGGAGGATTTCAGTCTGAGTACTGCTTGTACAGATGTGCACATCTGGCAGCTGGAAAGATGTCTGTGGGTTTCTCATCCCTGGAAAAGTGGCGCTGAGACAGATGTGCATCCTGGTGGAGGGTCTCTGGTCCAAGTACTCAAGTGGAAGAGGGATTTGATATGAAGGATATTACAGCGCCTGAGGGTAATGTCTCAGGATCCTCATCAGATTTCTGTTTTCCTCTCAGGGTTCACTCTCTCTGAAGAGAGGTTCTGGGAAGCCAGCAAGATACCACAATTTTGGTGGCAGAGATCCCTTGTCTGAGGTGTATGGTTGATCTCAGGGGAAAAACTTCATATATCCATTTAGTCCACAGATAATAAGAGCAAACTCTATGTGAGGCTGTTCTAGACCCTCTGGATAACAACAATAGCAAGTGTTTACCACACGGCAGCATCTCTCTAAGGGCTTTACATATATTAACTTATTCTGTCCTCGCTGTAACCCATGAAGTTGGGCCTGTTTTCACCTGCATTTTGTATTAGCACCAAGAGGTTAAATGTCTGGTTCAAAGTCACATAATTAGTAGGCTGAGTCAGGATATGAACACAGGCACGCTGGCCCCAGAGCCCACACTGTTGCCCACCAGGCAGTGGTGACCTCCCTGTCTTCAAAGAAGAGGAGGAAACAGACAAGGCAACAAGTAATGTTGTTTTCAGTATTGATAAATGCTGTAAGGAAAAGTAAAGCAGAGTAAGGGGACAGAGTGACAGAGGGAAGGAGGCTATTTTATTTTAATTTTTTTTGTGAGGAATATTGGCCCTAAGCTAACATCCATTGCCAATCCTCCTCTTTTTTTCCTTGAAGAAGATTAGCCCTAAGCTAACATCTGTGCCAATCTTCTTCTGTTCTGAATGTGGGATGCCTCCACAGCATGGCTGATGAGTGGAGTAGGTTTGCACTGGGCATCCAAACCCGTGAACCCTGGGCTGCTGAAGTGGAGCAGAACTTTAACCAGTTGGTCACGGGGCCAGCCCCCGGAAGAAGGCTATTTTAGATAGTGTGGTCAGGGAAGCCCTCTGTGATAAGGCAAACTCTGAGTAAAAGCCTGAGTGAAAGGCAGAAGTGAGCTATGTGAAGGTCTCGGGAGAGACTATTCCAGGCAGAGGTACAAAGGCTCTGAGATGGGAACAAGGTGGGGGTGCACCAGGGACAGCAAGAAGGTAACTGAAAGGGTGTGAATGAGGGAGACTAGAGCAATGAGGGCCTTTGTGAACTGGTAAGGACTTCAGATTCTACTGTCAGGGTGCTATGAAGCCCCTAGAGGGTTTTGAGCAGGAGTGTAACCTGCTCTGACTTTCCTTTTAAAAAAGATCACTCTGGAGCCAGCCCTGATGGCCTAGCAGTTAAAGCTTGGCACACTCCGCTTCAGTGGACCAGATTTGGTTCCCTGGTGCAGACCTACACCACTCGTCTGTCTGTAGCCAAGCGGTAGTGGCAGCTCACATAGAAGAACTAGAAGAATTTACAGCTATACACAACTATGTACTGGTGCTTCACGGGGGAAAAGGAAGAAAGAGGAGGAAGATTGGCAACAGATGTTAGCTTTGGGCAAACCTTTCCCTGGGAAAAAAAAATCACTCTGGCAGCATGTGAAGAACAGACTACTGGGGGGAAAACAGGGAGGAAAGTAGAAGGCTATTATAGTGGTCAGTGCAAAAAAAATACCGACGCTACTTCATTTTAGGCCTTTAGGCCAATGTCAACTTATACCAGCTGACAGCATGGTGGCTCAGGAGTCTACTACGTCTCAGAAGCTAACGATGACAAATGTTATGCTTGGATTCAGGAATAGTCTTGATGTGAAAGGGAAGGGAAGAGAAACTTCCCAGTTGCTGTCTTATAGCTGGCTAACCAGTTCTCCAATGGAATGAGAATGCTTTCATTTGTCAGGGCTTCTCTGAGGAGGGTCCTCAGAGATAACCTAATCACTTGCTGCTCTACTGGTTAATATGGAAGCCCTGGCCTGCAAGTAGGCAGCATGCGTTTCCCACCATCAAGGAAGGTGCACCTGCCAGGCTGTCCTGGGGAGGGCGCCCTGACGCCAGCACATGCCAGCAGCTCTACTGTTTGAGTCTGTTTCAAGTGTGAATTTACTGGGGATGTGTGAAGATGGCCCAGTCTAGGGTTTTTGTTTGTTTGTTTTTTGAAAGGGTAGTTTTAGCATTTCAAACTAAGAGGTGACTGGACAATTATATAACAGAAGAAAAGGTGGCACAGATTACTTACAGGTCTCCTTCTCTAAGCAGTTTCTACTCTGAGCAAGCTTACACTAAAAGATAAAACCAGCCTGTTTTGGAGATGCTTACCAGCTTCTACACTGCAAAGTGCCAAAAATTTGAACCTCTCTAAGTTTATGCAAAATAAGGACGCAGGCTGATTGTTTTTCCAAGTTCCAGCGCTAAAGAAGCCCATAAAATTCAATCACTGGAAAATGCCATCATTCTAAAGTTTTTGAAACAGCAACTGTATATCTGCCGCTATCAAAGTATATGCAAATGTGCAGATCGGTGTCTTTTTCTGACTCTCCTATTATCTTTTCATGCCTTTAGTTAAAGATCATTTCCCAGGCTTGTCCGAATGTGGCAAAGTTCTTCTATCGCTAGGTAACTGTAGAACTCAATGAGTTATCAGAATCTGAAATGTTATTCTGGAAGGGATTGTTCCATTATGCAGACAATATAACAAGACTTTTAATTTTGAGATAAAATGAAAACTAGAGTTTTTAATATGGTTCTTTTTTGAATTCTGTTTAGAGACAAGCATTAAGAAGGGTCAGAGATATATGTACATCTCTGATATATATATATATGTCAATATATTATATGATATAATGTCAGCCAGGATGGCACCTCCTGACGATGCTAAAGAAGCCCTTTCCAAAACACTAGCAGAACTTAGGAAAATGGTGAGGGGTTTCCCCTCTACACTTTATAAACAAATTTACTGCAAATAAGAGAGAAAAACGAATGGAAGCAGAAATGGTGCTTAGAGAATAATTGTTGCCAAATCAAAGATTCTTTAGATAGTGAGAAAACCAATCGATAGCAGGCTACTTTAGCCTTTGGATTAACTAATTTTGCAGAAAGATGGACATATCACATTACCCAGGAGACCATGCTGTTGCAGATGCTCCACTCTACCTCATGAGAAAGAGAAAAGCAAGCACAAATCAAGGTGATCCCTGGCACTTCTACAAGATGAAAACAAAAACACCTTCCAGGGGCCTTTATGGGGTCAGTATCTAAGCAGTTGTGCTGTCCAAGTGGCAATAAAATTTAGGTTCATCACCCATAATGATGTCTTCAAGAAAAGGGCAATATTTTTAATTATTTAAAAATACTAGGAAAAGTAGAATATATTTATACTCTTTGACTATCCACTATAAATGTGTAATGGATCTTACAAAGAGACAAATTTTTTAAAGTTTCCCATACTTATAGCATTAGCCTCCAGTAAACTATGAGAATTCAGCTCCCCAGAAGGATGCATTCCCTGGAAAGTCTAGAAAGCTGATATTTTCCTTTATGTTCTCCTTGAATTCAGTAACATGATAGGTCACCTTTCTATGTCTATATGAGTAAAAGGAACGGAGTTTCACGATCCTGTGGTGTAAATTATAAACACCGAAGCAGTGATGTCCAATCAAGGGGGATATGTCAAAGCTTAAAGCTCTTAATGAAAAATAGTGCAACACCAAACCATCTTACCTGTCGACGAATTATTTCAAGGTCTCTTTTGGCCTTGTTCACTAAGGCTTGAATTTCTACAGGATCCTTTACATTCTTATTTTCTCTGAAGGCATCTCTTATCCTCCTGACAGCGTAAGTTCTAAATCAATTCAGGGAAAAAAAGGAAAAGGTGTCAGCAGTCTGAAGCTATGCTTTTATATGAATTCAAAAGCTTTTCTTTAGGAATTAACTGTCTGATTTTTCTCCTATGGATAATCTACTTTGATCTTTGCTCCTGGGACAGACCCATCCATGACTATTCTGGGATGACTAAGTAAACAGGTTTAGGGAAATAAATCTACCCCAAACAAGTCACATATATATGGCAAACTGCTACTGAAATGCTCCTTAGATTACTGGTTCTTTCGAGTTATTCACGTCTGCTTCCCTCCATTAACATTGATAATTGACCTCTAATATACAGAGACAAAGCAAGAATTAAGAGGTGAAATGACGCGTCACAGATGCATGCACCAAGAGAGTGACCCATGCCGAACTCTGGTCAGCTTTCCAATTGTCTCATCTTCTGGCTGTTTCTTCCTCTTGTGCGATATAACATGTAAAAATCCACAGTGAGATCCTACCACAGTGAAGAGCAGAGATTACACCAAAATGCTTTTCTCCATCTTTAAAGTGTGTACATACGCACACACATACCTCCCCACCCCAATAAATTACACGCAATACAGGACAGCAGTCAAGAGCAAGACTTTCAAATCAGACAGGCTTGGGTTTGAATTCTAGTTCCAGCTCCCACTGTTTGTGTGAATTTGGACAAACTTCTTACCATAAGCTTGTTTCCTCATCTGTCAAATAGGCACAATACCACCTACCTCTCAGGGCTGCTGGGAGGATTAAGCTTTATAATGCGTGTCTGAAATGTGGCACAGAACCTGGTGCACAGAAAGACTCAACAAGAGAAAGCTCTTCTTTTTGTTATACCTGAATGCAATCAGTATTCCCCTCTCCTCACATCACGGCCTCACCTTCATCCTGCGTCCTTAGGGTCACACCACAATGTGTGTAGAGAGCATAGAATAGTCTGGACAATTGAAGAGTTCTTAACCTGATACGGTCCCACACTCAGACAGTCAAGGCCCTAACCCTTACACCCACTCCATCTACACCAGACTGAAGACAAGGGACTAAGAAAAGCAGCCCAAGTCAGACACATCAGACATGATTTTCCTTAGTCCTTTCATAATCTCAGATGACTCTGCTTTTAACTTTAAACACCAGGTAAAGAATTCACATGAAACTATTAGTAACATTTAGAAATAGAAGAATGGAATCAGAGGCAAACAAATGAGAGAAGGGGGATATAATTCCTTGAGAGTTGCGGGGGGAGGGTGTTGGGAGATGGATACAACTTACTAGGAAACTTTGTTTGAGAGAGGACTAATTTTGTTTTAGATAAACTTCTAAAATAAAAATAAATTTTAAATTAAAAATTCAAATATCAGGCCCACTTGCATTTAAAAGCAAGAGTAAAATGAAATCCTGTAATGTTAAGAACCATAACGGAGAATGGAAGATAGTTTAGGAACTTGCACTTCTTAGGATATAAGCCACTACTGAGACTGTCATCTTAATCCTACATGAACCAACTGGACTATCTGTAGAGGAGCTTCTGGGAGCTCAGTATCAATCTTAGGGACACAGTGATTGGAAATGGAATCCTTGTAGTAGCAGACGCTATATTATAACGGGCTCATTCACTTAAAAAGGCATGTGGGAAGATTTTACTAATATACTATATTAAATATAGATTTTACTCATGTATAGCTGCTAATCTAACAAAATATTAGATAGTAGCTAGGTAACCTAAAAGCAATTTCTGGTTTATTTTCTTGTCCAGCGTAATGGTTATTTATATAACACATCACCACTGTTCTTCCTCCCACTCACACATTCCTCCAAAACAGTTTCTCTTTTACTGGTGATGGGAGTGGAGAGCGGAAAAAATAATTTAATTCTAATATTTTGTTTCATATGCAGAACTGGTTTTATAACAGGAATTTACTTCAGGGAATCACTCATTGTTTTAATTCTTCACTGAGGATGCCACATGGACTTTTAGTCATTACTAAATCCATTTTTCTAAAAGCTAGAGACTAGCCCAGAATAGCTAGGAAAAAAGGAGTATGGCTTGGAATGCAAAGACCTAGTTCTTCCAAAGTTTAACGAAATCAGAAAACAGCTTAAGACACTGGACAATTTATATCACTTGAACTTAAGGTCCAGCATTCTAAATATTCTGCTGTGTATTCTTCTTGTCTCCCCAAATCTCCAAAGTCCATATCTAAAAGCATAAAGCTCTAGATCTTCAAATTAAATGTGTCTAAAGCAATTGAAAGTTGTCATTCTGATCTTGGATGCTCATTTGACATGACTGACATGATGGTTCCCTCCTCTCTTTCTTGCTCTTCCTCCTTTATCGCTGTCTAAAATACAAGGTGTCTTCTTTCGCCCCAAGAGAAGACACTGCACTGGCTCAGAACCATAAAATTAACTCCTACTGCATGAAGAATTTTTCATTTGTACGCATTCTTATTCCAAATGATCAAAATGTTCTGAAGGTATCACAAATCTGGCTGAATCTTCCAATTTTGTAGGAGAGAGCTAACCATCAATTATTTCAATCCTGCTCCTGCCTTGGTTTTTATCATTTACATTTTTTTCACTGCTACTAAGGGTGACCATTTACCCTTGAACACATTTTAGCCATCAGCCTCTTGACTGTATCACTGAGTAAGAACATTTCAAAGAAAAATGTGCAGATTCTTCAATGAAAATGGCAGCCAGCTGCTACACAATGCTTTACATTAGGATGATCCTAATATGAGTCAGATGCTGTTTGAAATAAAGCATGAAAAATTAACACATCCAGGGCAACAGCAACAGCTACCAACTATGAGAAAGTAGGCTGCATCCACAGAAAGAGTAAGGCTATGCTGCTCACCTAATCACCGCTCTCCCTCTACCCTCCTGGAGCTTTGCAGAGTTTAGAGTTTCTTTGTGCAGGAGATTCCCATTTAGCTTTTCTTTTCCATCCCAGACTTTGCCTTCGATCTGCCATCAGACCTCCAAGTATACACAAGTTCTTCTACTGGCTTTCCTTTCACCATTGCAAGGATCAAACTCCCTTATGAGATTCTTACACCCATTACTATTTCCCAGCTAAAACAATACAGCAAACAGTAATGAAAGCTCTGTAATTCCTGAGGTCCCGCTTCACTTTCACCCTTTCCAGAACCACTATCAGCCAAATGCAGGTCATAATCATCTCAGCCTCCTTAGCACTTGGAGGCTCACGTTGGTTTTAACATTTGAAAGGTATGATCTGGAAACCAGTTGATATAACACCCTTCATTTCTGTCATCCTTCATCACCACCCAACATGCTGGTTTCTCTGCTTACCATCCTGTAAAAATACCTGTGCTTTGTCCTCCTTCCCCAACTCCAAGTCAAGTATCCCAGTAACAAAACAACTCAACCCTTTCTACTGGCCTCTTTGGGCCAAATTCCTTCAACTGCTTAGAAGGACATACCCTCCATCTACTTGCCTTAACTCAAATGTGCCTTGCTCCTGAAGACAGTGCTTCCTTTACAGCCATTAAGAAGCTGCTTGATTCTGCCTTGCCTCCAGATTGCATGGGGCTGGGAGGAGAGTGCCAGGGTGTTTTTGGATTCTACTGCTGCTTCCGGATCATTGGTTTACCTGTATACATCTTTGAGGCCATGCTACCTAACAAAATCATCCTGTATGCCTCCACGATGATGCTGTCTGCTCACTTCTTGAGGACAAGACTTAAGATTCATCAAGACTTAATATCTAAAAAGCACTCAGTGCATATATGGGCCACCAATTTTAGATAACTGAAAATAATTTTATTTAAAGTCTCCTAGCTATTTCTTCCCAGTCTTCGTTGTGGGCTCATCTTATTCTTCTGCCTCTTATATGCTGCATTCTCTGGGACTCTGTATTGGACATCTTTTCTTTTTAATACAATCTCCTTTACTAATTGCATGTGTCCAAGGTTTTGATTATAGCATATATATGCCATTGGCTACCAAATCTTTCTCTAGCCCACACCCCCATCTAAGTTCCAGATCTATGTAATCCAGTCGCCTTTTGGACTTGCAGCAAAAGGCACCCACTATACCCACTACAGACTTCCCACTGAACACGTTCAAAACTTAAGTCACCATCTTCCTTACCCTTGCCCTCAATGGCCAGTATTTCCTTCCTTGGTAGGAGCATCTTCATACAGCCAATTGTCCAAGTCAGACATTTGGAGATCATTCTAAATTCTTTCCTTTTCCCGAATTCCTTATATTGGGTCAAGCACAAAATCTTAACTGTTTCAACCTTCTACATCCCTTCTGAATCACCTTCCACTTTTCCAAACCCTCGACCCTAATCTTGGTTCAAGCTGTTATCTCTCAGACTAATGCAACAGCCTTGTGATTATGGTGTACATGTGTGTGGTGTATAATAAAATGGATAGTAACACCAATAGAGAGAAAGCTCAGGGACCATCTGAAGGTCATAAGTACTCTGGGTAGATAATAGAGTGAGGAACAGAGCAGAGAGCGTCCTTCGTATGAATGTAAGTTCCTACTAGAATGTAAAGCCCACACAGTGGGGACTTTTACCTTTCTTGTTTACTACTGGATCTTAAGTATCTGGCTCAGAGATGATGCTCAATAAATATTTACTGAATAATGAACTTCCTGAAATATCATAGGCAATATTAAAAAGACACTCAAGAAAAATACCAATAACCAATAAGAAAGACCCAACAAAAAAACGTAAGAAATTGAATAAGAAATAGAATGAAAGAGTTTGCAGCACAAAGACTGAAATAAACTCTGAAAGGTAATGATTACAAAATTTGCAATGAGAATTCATTGAAGAAATATATATTGAATGCCTTATCAGACCTACATATCAGCACTGTGCAAGGTGCTTGGGATACTGTGAAGATCAACAATGTTATTGGCTTCAGTGACTGGTGGGGGATGAAATCTGTATACAAAGAGATGAAAGGAAACTGAAGCTATTCTAAGTGAACACAAAGAGGCTAAGGAGATTTT